TCTTTCCCTCCTCGTGCACCTTCCCTTGCTCCTTCTCACTTCACACCACCTCACCCCACTTTCTACTCCTCCCCTTCTTCTATCTATCTTATTTTTCTCATAAAATGGAGGAAAGTTTGTTATCAAAGAGGCCAAGAGAAGAGCCTCTAAATAAGGAAGATTTACTTGATTGTGATGAATTAGAGTCCTCAAAGAGGCACAAGCCATACAACCACATACTCTCTCTTCTTGAATCGGAGGAAGAAGACTCCACTCAAGACCTCTCTCCTATCATCACAGCCCTCCAACAAGAAATCACCAATTTTCCCTCTGATTCGGACACCCTTTCGAGCCAACACAATAATCTCACCACCGCCAATAATAATAATTTAGAGGATTATTATTGTTCATCCTCCACCACTCAATATTCTAGTGACATGGTTGAGGAACATGGCAAAGAGGGAGTCATGAGACACCTTCTTGAAGCTTCGGATGATGAACTCGGGATTCCAAATATAGGGGATGGATCAAATGATTTTGGTGAAGATGGGTTTAACGGTGGTGGAGACATGCTTTCTTCTATTTGTGATGGTTTGTGGCAGCTTGAAGATGAAGCTGCAAACTACTATGATCTCTTGCGCTCTCAACTCTTTCTCTAGTTTCTTTGGCCTCCTTTAGGTGTTAGGGGATACAGATTAGTGAAAAACCATAGTTTTTCTTGCGTTCAAGATGAAATCCAAGAAGAAAAATGGAAGCATTAATTTTCTCTTTCTTCTTCTTCTTTTTTTTTTTTTTTATTATTATTATTATTATTATTATTATTATTATTATTTTGTAAATTAAGATCATGGGCGATGCTTATGTGGCGGATAGTTAGGGGTCAATCTGTAGAAAAAAAAAGGTATATCTTATATTTACATTAAACAAAGTAATTAGCAAGTTATTTATCAACGTCATATGTTAATTTATCTTATCTTGACTTGTGAGGGTAAATGAAAACGACTTTTTTTTTCTTTCAATTTTAGTAATTTTAAAATAATTCTTTTCAATAATTGGCTTATGCCGAGCGCGTTTTTGGTAAGCATTGTGTGAAAATTTATTGAGGCTGTCCAACTTATTTTGATAACATACTACATGTGACGGATTAGATCATTATATATACCAGTGAATTTTTAATAATATTTTAAAATTTAAGGATAAAATCGTCTTAAAAATATATAGATTAAATTAAATTATCATCTTTTATATATTATGTTATAGATAATAAATTCTTCCATATTATTAATAATTTACAAAAGATAATGACATACAATAAAAGAGTTTTTAATATTATTATTTATATATATAAGAGAAGTAAATAAAAGAAAATATATATAGTACTAAATTATATAAAAATATATATAAATAGATAAGAAAAAGACGGAGTTCACCAAAGTTTATTTTATTGTTTAATTATTTTAAAATTTTAAATAATAAAATGTTTTATCATTTCATTTCGATTTTACACAAATAACTGATAAGAGATTATTTCAATTTAATCAATAATTTTTAATTCAAATTTTAAGTATTTAATTTTATTAAATATTCGGATAAAATATTTTATTGCTTATAATGATCGTACTCGAATTGTCTTCGATTAAAAAAAAATACTTGTATTCTCTAAAACCAATGCTCAAAACCCTAATTTCTTCATGGCTAAAGGAAAGACCAATATTGATAACTTGCCTATATATGTGGACCAAAATTGTTTGAAGTACAAAATATAATCAGAGACCTGTGTAAGTTGCAATAACAAATATTAGCCAAATGGGTAATAGGGTACATCGCACGATATATACACTAACTGAAGAAGAAAATAGTTCAATTTGCACAATAATGTAATGCCCCTTTTCCTAAAAAGTCTAGATTGCACTTATATTTGTTTAATTTTGATGAGAAGCTATTATTATATATAGCGTTAATGTGCTTAAAAACACATGTTGATTTGTTTGATATACAAGTGAAGTTCGATAGACGAAACACGATATTGTAATAATACCAATTGAGTCCTCATCGATTAAAGCACTTTCCAAAAAGAAGAAAAAGAAGAAAACCTTCAATACGAATCAGTCTCCCACTTAAAGAGTAACGAAAATAATTATAGAAAACTAGTGCCTAGAAAGGAAAACGAAACTACGAAAGTCAATACTCAATACCAGTTTCCCATGGGTTAAATATATTTTATTATGTGTCTTTCATTATATTATTTGAGTTTTTTATTTACTTATTTTTATTTTTTATAAATTAAAGATACTTTAAGAGTAGGTTTTATATTTTCCCTTCTAAGATAGCGTGTCTTGAGGCACTGACTATTTTTTTTTTTTTTACACCAAGAGGCACCGGCTAATTAATAAACTTAATTAATTTTGTGTGGGTATATATATAATGGCCACAATAAAGTTAAACCTTACCATTAAACCGATTTTAATGAGTTAGATTAATAGTCTTAATTAGATTAACGTATATGCATCATTATTTTACTTTAAAAAGATAACCATAACACACACATATTGAGTAGAATTTGAATTTGTTATATTATTAGGATAATTTTTTTTTATTGTTATTCAATATATATGTTGACTTATTATGTTAAAATTCTTAATCTTTTTATAATCAAGTAAACATTTTAATAATTTAACAATATATAATTAGATAAAGAACATCAGTTTTAGGAAGCACCTTCCACCTGTAATTTATCTTTTCAATTTGTTTATGCATAAACAAAATTTTAATTTATAAAAATTATATTACATTAAAATGTACAGGTTAAAAAAAATGGCATAATACAAGTTATGTAATTTTTTAAGTGACCAATCCATAAATTACTTAATTTTAGAAATTACATATGAAAAATAATTTGAGCAGATTAAAATTATAATAATGACTAGGGATGGCAAAAATACCCGCACCCGCGGGTATCTGCGAGTAAAATCCGCTACGGATAATAAATGGATAAGCTAATTGGGTACCGCGGATAATGGGGACGGATAATTTTTTACCCGTTTATAAACGGGGCGGGGGCGGGTATGATGATATTCATACTCGTGGGTACCTGTTTAATAATATTTTTTAAATATCCTAATTATCTATGTATCACATAACCTTAAAACTATACTCTCTCGTCTTATTTTCTTACAAAAGTGAGGTTAATGAAATTAACATTTGTTAAGCATGTTATAGAATTATGTTGGATGCAATTTGATTAATTTTCTAGCTTTGATTGGACCAATAAGATTTACATATTTTAAGTTATTTACTCTTGTTTGGAATTATGAGATTGAATTATTATAGCTTTGTGATGAGACTTTAACTTATTTATGAGATTGATGTATTTTAAGTTATTGATTATCTTGCATTTTTATTATTATTTCAACAAAATCAACATTAAATACGAGTTCAAAATTAACACTGAATTTTTATTTTTAATATTTCAATGACATTAAATATAAACTTAAAATTATTTATAATATAATTTTTTTATTTTTTTAAAAAATTTATAAATATCCACGGATATCCATGAATATCCGTGGGTATTCAAGAAATTCATGGATACCTGCTTAATGGATACCCGCGCGGATATAAAATGGGTATGGGGCCAATTTTCATCCAGCGGGGCGGGGGTGGGTTTATATTACTCGCCCCCATGGGGCCCCATTGCCATCCAATAATGGCATGCGAGTCCGAACCTAGAATTCTACATATTATTCTAACTTTTTTAAATAGTGAAATAAAAAAAATATTACTATAAATATAATATATATAAATATAAATCTATTTGACATATATGTACACACAATTTTAATACTAAATTTGAATAAAATTTAATAATATATATTATGTGTCATTATAATTTATATTTATAATTTTTGATAATATAGTTTTATATATTATATCTACAATATATATATAAATAATTTTTAATAATAAATAATGTATCATAATAAAATATATCTCATATTTGATAATTTTTGTTTTTTTTAGTGTGATCTTTAGTAGTACAATGCTATTATTTGGTATCTATTGAATTTGAAATTTTATCAAAAAAAAATGGAATGTAATTTAATTTGGATCAACGATTTGATGTAATTTTCGTTTTTTTTAGTACGATCTTACTCGTACAACGTTATTATTGGTATAACGTGTATTGAATTTGACATTTTATTAAAATATGGAATGTAATTTAATTTGGATCAACGATTTGATGTTTTTATAATATTTTTTTTATTAGTATTATTTTATTTAATTATTAATGGAACAATGATTGATGTCCCTTAGTTCGGTGAAGGAAATCCTGTGTGGAGCACATGGAGTATGGACCAGATGGTTGAAAGTACAATTATCAGTGGACCTATGTGTACCGTTGCAATTCCAGCCATTGGTCCCTACCACACTAACTCAACTAGTTTTGTACATTGCATCCTCATTAATTATTTACGGGACAAGGATCCTATCTAAAAAGTTTAGATTCTACGTCTAATTGTTTAATATTAATGATCGATGCAAATTTTCAAAAACATTAGCATGCTCTTAGATTGTTAATAGTCATATCTTTAAGAGCATACAAAGAAGTATTCTATATTTATGTGTATGAAATAATTTCTATTAAGAAAAGATATCACTTTAAATAAATATAAATAATTTCAGGGATCAATTTCCGTCTCTCAATAAGGAAATACTTTAAGTTCAGAAGACAAAAGAAAAATTGCAATTAAAAAGAAAAAAAATAAGTCCAAGACAATAGAATATTATATGCATTGATAAGGATTTTTTTTCCATGTATAATTAATATAAATTTGTTAATTTAATTTTTATGATATTTTTTATCCATAACTTTCATAATAAATTAATGGTATGTTTGAAAAAAATATAAAATTGGTTTCCCAACACACACACGCACACGCACGCATGCACGCACACACACACGCACGTGCACACACAATACACAAAATCATCTCACTTTCTATTCTTTTTCTTTCTCTCTACCCCTAACCCCTTCTTTTTGTTTTTTTTTTTTTGCCTTTCTAAATCAAACATACCATAAAACTCATAACAAATTTGTTAAATCTAGATATCTTTCAATTTGAATTTTGATTCAATATATTATAAAAGACATTAGACTCAACCATTGAAAATCTTAACCAAATATACACTAAGTTTTGAAGATCCAACAACTTAATATAGGTTATGTTGTCCATTTGGAGTTCACACACATGTCTCCTCATGATTATGATATGTTCACTTTGAATTTAATGTAACACTGCATGTTTTATGTTTTTTTATGCATGTTATGCGTCGTTTGATGATTTATAATGTTTTAAGTTGTTGTGTTGTGTTTTATGTGGTTTATAAAAGCTCTAAGGGTTATGGAATTTCTAAAGACTAATTAAATTGTTTAGATTTGTTTGAATTGAGGTTAAAGTTAATCAAGAATAGAGGGAGGAAAGAGGGATATAAGGTTTTAGAAAAACATGACTCCATAAGTTCATTCCCTAAAGTTCTAAAGAGTTTAGAAACACTAGTGGAAAAAACACTTTTAAAATCATGAGAAAGGACACCTACTTTTCAGAAAAAGACAGCACCACAACAACTAAACTGATAAGGAAGGTACAAATATACCTAGATCATGATTGAAGTCAGATATCGAAGTAATCAACTACACAGAAAGACTCCACGAATACAAGCAAACATGGATAGAGAAATTCACAGTAAATTTATATTAGTTCAGCCACATTCACTTGTAACCTACATCTAGTACATAATTAACCCGATTGAAATTTTTCACTAATCTTTAATGTTAGAAGTTTTACAATTACAATACCATACAATACACTTCTATACAATTAAAGAAACCTCTTCTTACACCCTAAGAAACGCTAACTTGTAGCACCCCACCACAAGATTTCCTTTTCCTAAGAAACCTACTTAAGAAAATTATTTGCA